GACTGGTTACAGATTGTTTCTCTTTGAGTCAGTGTCACTTCATTGCTGGAACCCTGTGGCTACTCTCCACAGTTCTTTGCACAGCTCTGCCACAGTTGACCCAGAAGATCTCCCCTGGGTTTGTGGGGTTGCCCTGGAGGGCCCTGCCTTGTTCACTGTCTTCTCTCAGCTCCTTTGAGGATGTTGGTTTGGTTTTGTTTTGTTTTTTGCTTTTTTGTTATTGTTGTTGTTGTTTTTAATCAATAGACTTTGCTTTTTAAAGCAGTTTACTTTGTTCTCCCTTCTGTATGGTCAACATCTTGCTTTTTTTTACATTTGTTACAGTCAGTTAACCAATATTGATACATTATTATTAACCCAAATCCAGAGTCTATTCAGGGGCCTGCCTTTTGTATTGCACATGTTCCTGGATTTTGACAAATGTGTAATGACACAGAGCCCCGTTCCATCCAGCCCCCAGAATCCCGTTTCACTCTTCATTCATCTTCTCTCAGCCCCCCACACTCAGACCTTCAGCAGTCACTGCTCTTCTTCCTGTCTGATTTTAAAAGGAGAATACAGACTAACAGGGGCCTAAGATATATTTAAAAATCTATTGAGCTGAAGTACTAAAGTTCTCCATTTTATATACCTAAAATGTTGTCTATAAAGCTCTTAGTTCCTCCTACACACTGGACTAAGCTTATGCCTCCTGACATCCCCAGATACTAAGTAACGGCGTTTCCATTGTACCGCTGGAAAGCCACACCAAAGGATAAGCTGAGGAAGCTACACAGCTGGCTGTACCTGAGCTGAGCTGAAGCCCAGGTGCTGGGCCTGCCCGGTGAGTTCCCTGCGGCACGCCTGCTCCTCCTGCTGCCTTTTCAGCAGGTGCCCGCTGGCCACTTAGCAGACTCGGGCCAGGCTGCGTGGCTGCGCTCACCTTCCTTCTGCATTTCTTTCTGAACCAGGGACTTCATAGTTTAAGACATTTCCAATTCGGGACAGGTTGTGCACATCTGTTTATTCCACTGCCCTTCAGAAATATCCCTAAAGTGACATGAAGGGCATAAAAAAATGTCAACATGTTTTAGCAAGATAGAAAGACATTGTATCAACAGTAATTTAATAAAGCAAAGAAACCCAAAACTTTCCTTTAAAAAAAAAAAAAGGAACCAGCAAAAAGCAAGCTAATTCTTAGTGCAAAGCAACAAAAGGTCTTAGGAAGTAAAGGTGAATGTGTGATAGAGCAGGAAACCAGAAAGCAACCGGCTGAATGTATCTAAAGACAGTTTCACTGCTGCCCTCTGTCAGCTAACAAGCTGCTCTTCCATCCCGAGGAACCCCGATGATAAAGACTGATCCAGGTCTGTTCTCTGAGGTTTATATAGTACATGGAGATGGTCCTTTCTGGAGAGAGAATATAATTTATAACATCAATTTGAGCTACTAAAAGAATGAACAAAGAGGTCACAACAAATATCAAATGCAAAAATCTGACACATCACTGTAATATTTCTTCTTAATGTTTTAGCTTCATTCTCATTGATCACTTCTTCATGCAACAGTAATATTCTGAAATAGTTTTGATAGAGAAAACAGTCTTTTCATTGCTAACTTTGGCTGAAATTATTTCTTTTTATTGGTAGTGCAAATGCATAAAGCATGACTTTTCACACAGCTCTAATCACTGTCATAATGCTACAGATTTGTGTCCAGTAAACACAAAATGCTATCTTACTAGATTCCCATCAAAAAATAAAAGACTATCAGTGTGTTTAACTGTATATGTGGCATTAAAAAGAGGATTTCTGAAAGCAAAGTATTTTTGTTGACCAGGCATCTTTGAGAACCAAATCTTTTGTTTACAATTTTACATGCTTTATGTTTGGAAGAATTTCTCATAGTCTGGTCTTTGGCTGTGTACATTTCAAGCTTGGATTTACCACTCATTATTCTTTAGTATCAGAACACATTTGTGTCGCATTTTAGGCTCTGCACCTGTATAGCAGATAGTGAGAGAGTTCCAGGAAATCATTCCTTGAATTAGCAATAACTTTACTATCAAAGACAAAGCCAGACACTAAAATGGTAAGAAACTATTGCAGTAGGAGAAATTAATCCACTGTGACCGGAAGTCCAATCTGAATTGTCCAAAAGCAACTAGGTGTTTTAAAGAGAGAATGAAGGGACAGGAAGGAAGTGCTAACGCTCAGGGAATTGGGGCGGACCTCAGTAAATAATCAGGGTTACCAGAAAGCTTTTGGGGGGTTGGTACGGTTTTTGGAATCAGATACAAATTATTATTTTGCGTTGTCACTGACTTCAGGACTGAGTGCAAGCTCTGCTAGAGATCATTGGCCTGATTGCAGCTTTGCCAGGTGACAGGGCAAGCTGCTTTGAACACAGAAGTATGGAATCTGAACCACAGTTGCTTAACTTTGGGGATCAAAGCAGACAAAATGTAGACAACTAAGTTTGCCCTATTTAACTAACAAACTTTTAATTGTTTAAGTAGAACGCTTTCTAAAATGAATTGAACCCTCTTCTTAAGCAAAAGAGTGCAGAAAACTGTATTAAACTTTTTTTCTTTGGTACTTCTCCTTAAGGAATCTCAATCTTAGAGCTTTTTAGAAAACATTTCACCATTGCTCAACTAAATCTGCTCATGTCTCAAAGCGTGTTTGACTCATTTTTGTAGCATTGTGTGAGGGACTGGTATGTGGAGTGACGAAATCTGACCTTTTTGTGTAGCCCAGGAAGGAAGCAGCTGGGAAGCTGGCAGAAGATTCACTAATAGCAGATAAAGGAATGCTTAACTGATAACTGATCTTTCCAGGCGTGCTGGTCGTATTCCAAGTACTAATGGAGTGGGAAATTTGAAAAGGTATCTCATGACCCTTTAGTAACTTCAGAAATTCTACGCATGGTAGCACTCAAGTGCATAAGCACTCTTCTTGTGTTTTAGTTCCTTTATCTTCAACAGCAGTGGCAGGGCAGGGGAAACTACAACACTGGACTTTAAGAATCTTGTGAGGATGAAGTGGACTAAATGGGAAGTGTGCAATACCTAATTCATAGTGGATGCTTAAGTACCATTTTTCCCTTCCCTTATATAGCAAACAACTCTAAACGCTAACTCTTGACTTTGTTAGTGAGCTGTCCTTTACTATAACAATACCTCGGATAATCAATAGAAAGAAGGAAAGATTTATTTTGCCTCACGATTTTAGGAAATTCAGTTCATGGTCACTTTGCTCTGCTGGCTTTGTGCCTGTGGCAAGGTAACACATCATATAGGGGAGTGAGTCGGGGAGGAGACCACTCACCTCACGGTGGCTGGGAAGCAAACAAAAGTAAGAAGAAAGGCCTTGGTCCCAAAATACCCTTCGCTGGTGCGCTCCCGCTGGCTCAGCTTTGTTCAACGAGGCCCCAACCTGAAATATGTTTTACCAATTTGCTAGGTGTCTCTCAATCCAGACAGTGACCTAGAGGAGGCGTCATATGTGCTCCCTATTTAGTGCTTCTTTCCTTTCCTCTTATATATAAGCTTTTCATTTCAGAAAAGAGAAATATATAATTTACCCTTGGTAATCATTAACATATATTATTCTCCATTACTTATGTGAGCTGACATACTTGGACTTTTGCAGAGTAAATAAAAATGCTATCTACCATTTTTCTGGCTTTAGGAATACAGAAAGAAAAAAACATAATGTTAAATTCCTCCTTTCAGTCAACTTAGTGAACTGCCACTCCTTGGTCTCTCCTCTTTCCTCACAGAGGAATGGCTGTTTCTTCCTCAGGAATGTTGGCCTCCTAACGAGTTACAGTCCCATCAAAACTAAACATTAATTTACAGTTATAATCCCCTTCCCATTTGATGCATATTACCTCTGCATCAAAGATGTTTGAATTTCAAATCTGGAAAAGGAGATCTTCTATGAAAATGTTCTATTTCACGACGTCATTTTATCAGGTATATTTATTTCTGTGCACGTTAGGTCTCACTTAAACCATGAAAGACATCGTGGCATATTACAGTGATGCATGTATACTCCTGTGTGTGGCAGCACAACACTCAGTAGCTAAACTGGGAAGCAGCCTATGTGTCCACCAACAGAGAAATGTGTTTTAAAAGTGTGCATTTATACACAGTAGAGTACTGGCTAGCTGTAAAGAAGGATAAATGAAACATTGTTAGGAAAATGAATGCACCTTGATACAATAATGCTAAGTGCAATAAATCAGACATACAAGCTTGACTGTCACATGATTTCTGTTATATGAGAAATAAGTATAAAGAAAGAGCAAAATAAAATATAGATAACAGGAAATGAAGAGATAGATCATTTTCAAATGTGAAGGAGACCAAGAGAAGGAGAGAGGAGCAGTGATGGGGGAGATAAGAAGCTTACAGTGTGTGCACGCATCAGCTCCTTGCAAGGAATATGACCGTTACGTACTTCAAACATGTACTAATAAATTTTAATTATAAAAGGGAAAATGACTATGTTGAGATTTTGGTAAATTTTGCCCTGATTATTTTATATCTTATTTAATAAATGGCAATGGAACTTTTAGTACACTTTACTAGAAGTTTCAATGAATAAGTATCTGAATCTTTTTGTCTACCTATTTTCAAATCCCAGCTCCCCCAAGCTCCTCTGTTTTACTTTACAAAAGTGAAAATATTATCAGAGTCAGTGGGTCAGATTTTTTAATAAGGAGATGCATTATATTTCAGGTTGTATTGATATTAGTTTACCATAAAAATGTCTATGAAGGTAATATCAAAATACGTAAAATATAAATCTATATATCTATATATGTGTGCATGTAATAATAGAAAATATTCACTATTCAGTTATTAACATGCTGATAAAAATCTATATTTTTTATTAATGATCTTCTATTTGTTATGTTAACCATATTTGCCCACATACATTTAGGAAAGATTATTCTTTTATTTAACAAAACAATCTAAATTCTATATACTTTTTACAAATGTTTCTGCCTAGAAATTGACATTGAGCGCTGTGTACGAGAATCCATCAACCTCTTTTGCTGGACTCCCAAAAGCGCTACTTACAGACAGCACGCGCAGCCTCCCAAACTGCCTGCCGACAGCGGCGCCCTGCGGAGTCCCGCCGCCTGCTTCTCCGCGGAGTGCACCGAGCCGCCCAGGACGGCCCTGGTAGGTACAGGGGGGCCCCGAGGGTCGTACTGCCCGTAGTGGTGCCGTCCGTGTCCTTTTAACGTCACTGTTTCCTGACACACTTTGTCGTACAGGTATTTCAGAAAACTCCCACGTCTGTTTAACACTGCAGTTAGTTAAGGGCATTGTTCTGACCTATTTCCCCATATAACAAGTTTGGTTTTGTTTTCTATACCATCGTGGTTTTTGTGTGTACGTCATCTTGTGATATAAGAGACTACAGAGATGAAGGAATTTTCTAAAATAAAGAAAGGTTATTGGTAGAACCGATACCGACTTCTTGATTGACAAAGAAGCATCTGGCGTCGGTTTTTCACTTCAGTTGCTGAACTTTTCAGCACTACCACATATACTCGGTTCTGTTTAAAATAGTTCCTATCTCTTGAAAGTTGTTCAGTATTTACTGAGACATCTTTGTCCTTGCAACATACAGTTCTTTTTTAAATTCCTTAAAGATGGTTTCCTTTAGTTCTTTACAATAGCTGATTTTAAAATCTTGCCTTCTAACTCCACCATTCAATATTTTCTTGTGAAGTGAACCTTGTAAATAATACTGCAGTTTTAGAAATGAGGTCCTGCTCTCTGCCCAGCGTTTGTGTTACAGTTTGGTACGGTGCTGATTTTGTTGTTGATAACGGCCTTCCTCTGGTGAAGTTTCTAAATTCCATACGGCCTGTATGCTTTGTCAAGTGTGACATTGCTTTGTTGGCTTCATGCGCAGGCAGCAGACGGATCTCCTTAACCTGTCGGTCCTGGGAGCCTCGACTGTGCCGGGCACCTCTGAGCACCTGTGGGAGGAGCACGTCCTCACTCAGTCAGCAGCTTTTCCGGAGCTTCATTTTCCCTTAGAGCAGAGAAAGAGATCAAGGGAGAAGGAGAGAGAGACAGACCCTTCCATACCGCGCCCTCAGGGACCCACTCCTCCCACCGAGCTGCATCTCCCAGTGACACACTTAGCTATAAACTCATCAGTGGTCTAATCCAGTGTATCACCGTGATCCCGTCCCCAGCAAAAGCCCCACCTATTAGCATATGAGGCTTTGGGGGACGTCCAGATATAACCGTGCACCTGCCAATATTCACGTTGGCTTTTTGGAGGGGCAGCTTTGCAATTCTCATTAACTGTCGCTTGCTATCTGCTTTTTCTGCTGATCTTGACATTTACATGAAGCAAAAAAGTTTGAGAGGTGGTAGATTTTAAAAGGTCAGAAACATGCGATAACTGTTCAAGTAATGTCAGACTTTTATTTTGCTGTAAAATAAAATTTCATTAAGAAAAGTTACTGCTTTAAGTTGCAGTGACTTTAAATCTTTTTCTCTTATACCATGATCTGAAATAAGAATTTTATTTGAAATTTAGTACTTTCAAAGTCACTAGATCCATAATTCCCTCCATATATTCCCTTTATAGTAAGTCTCAGAGTTATAAGTTATTTTGCTAAAGCTTTGGGATATGAAACAAATTATTTTGTGTATTTTTTTTTGTACCAGGAATTGAACTCATGACTGTATATTTGTAAGGCAGGCAATTATGCTGCTGAACTAAATCCCCAGTTACTTTGTGTACTTTTAACTCACATATCTTCATGAATTTAATATCATTAAGAGTGAAAAAATACTGCTGAGATTTATTTGCATGAAATATTGCTATCTGAAGCATAATCAAGTCTTAGTTTACTTTAGGATTTAGTTTATCACTTTTAGTGAAATACTCCAATCATAAAGGAAAATATAATAACATAAAAGCCAATACATAATCTTGCACATACTGAAACATATGTAAAAATCACATACTGTTCAGCTGCTCAGGAAGTAGCCACGAAAAAAAGAATACCTGACATCATAGCATGTGCATTTAGTGACGGATGTAGTTACAAAATAAGAAGTACATTTAATGTGCTATTGGAGATAGATGTCAGTAAGAGAGGTTTTAAAGAATCAGAGGGAGTGAAAGAATGAGAGTAATCAAAGAGTAGAAAGGGTTGCTATTTTATATGAGGAACTCAAAGAGCAGCTAGAAGGTTACATTTGAGGGAAAAAAACCCTTCAAGGAAGTGAGAAATTACATCATGTATATTTATTTCTTAGGGATAAATGTTCCAAGCAAAGGAATAGCAAATGCAAAGATGATTGCATGCTTGACATACTGGTAAAAAGCAGGAGGCTGAAGGAGTGCTATTGTGATGTGAGTTTCATGTAAGGGGTTACCCTGCTGCTGTAGTGAAAAGAACAGAATGAGAAAGAGGAAAAGAAGACCCGGAAGGGAGCCGTGGCGGCCCAGACCCAAAGGGGAAGAGCGGAAGTGATGAGACGTAGGCATGTATCTCAGAACCAGAACCAGGAGAGTGTGCCGACTGAACATGAGGTATGAAAGACAGCAGGATGAAGAATAAACGCAACATTTTTGTGTTAGGCTAGAAGGACAGAGTTTCTGTCTACTGAAATAGGAATACTGCAGAAAAACCAGACTTGAAGATGGGAAGCAAGTGTACAATTTTGAACACATAGATTTAGATGTTTCTATGAGATGTCCACGTGAAAAATAAATGCCTTGTCAGTTTTGTCTATAACATGCTTTTATTTTTCTAGTCGATTATTACTGATGTATAGAAACATTATTTATTTTGGATTAGTTTCAGCTAATTTCAGGTATTCATCCCTCCCTAACTTTAATATTTAGGGAAGTTTTAGATTCACAGCAAAATTGAAAGGAAGGAGCCAAGCATGATGGTGCATACCCGTTATTTCAGCCACCTGGGAGGCCAAGGCAGGAGGATCACATATTCAAAGCTAGCCTGCAAAATTCTATCTCAAATACAATGTTTTAAAAGGGCTGTGACTGTAATTCAGTGATAGAGCATTAGCCTGTCATATGCAAAGATGTGAATTCAATCCCGAGAACTGGGGAGGAGAGGGGGACTGAGGGAAAGGTATGTAGATTGCCCACTTATACCTGCACTCACACATGTAAAGTCTTCTCCGTGTCCAGAATGTCACCACAGAAGGACATTGGTTATAATTTCTATCGTAGATCCAGGCCTTCCCAGATTGACTGTGTCTCCTTGTATGAACTTCGTGCTACTGTGTCTTTCAAGAAATTAGTTCATTTCATGTAAGTTGATCAGTATGTAGGCATAGGGCTGTTTGGGAGAGTTCTTTATTATCTTTTTTTTATTTTATTTAAGGAGAAAAAGAAAAAAACAGAAAAAGGGTACAAGTTATACAGAATTTCAGAAAAAATAAACAGTAGGAAATCACTAGTTAATAGATCACATATTGTCATCTTAGAAATAGTTATTCAAGTTACAAAATTAAAGCATATAAAGTGGACATTCTAACAGTGAGATTGCAAACAGTTCTGTTCAATGATCCAACAAAACTCAGTAATATGGTTATCTATCTTATACACTTAAAGATACATACAGTTATATCCTTTAGAGCACTTTCTTTTCCTCTCTTTTGTACAATGATAGTTACACATTTTGGGTTTTATTACTCCCACAGTTCTTATTACTTTTTTTGAAGAGAATAAAACCAAATGCGACATAACAAAACAGAATCAGTCAAATCAAAAGTATGGATATAATACATACTGTAAAAACAAAATACAAGGTGATCAACATTGATTACCATAATGCCTCTTGCTGTCTTAAAAAGAATTGCCTATATCATCAGTTATGATAAAATTGAACAAAACAGTAAAGAACAAAACCAATAAAACCAAAACATTGGAGACATTACAAGACTTCAAAAGAAGATAATAGTCAACCCAGAATGGGTGTCATAATGAATCTTATTGTCTTCACAGTTGTTGCCTATACTCTCAAACTTGGTACTATCAAGCAAAACAGAATAGAGGAAAATCAGTCAAAACAAGATGGTGAGAGCAATACAGGGTTTCAAATCAACTTAATAAGAAATCAAAGTGGGTTACTATAATATGTCCTGCTTTTTTATCTTTCCCTTAATTAAAAAGATAAAAATAAGAAAGTAAATAATGAAAAAAGGAGATTGAGATAAAAGAGGACATAACAACAAAACAGCACAGGTCAAAACATAATCATTTAAGCAAAATAGTGTTTCACTACCAGATATCCCGACATAAAAGTAGTTACCGTAGTATCTCTTTTCTTGAAATCTTTGAGTATAACTTCGTATACTGTAGCATCAAACATATCAAGACAATGTAAAACCATTCAAGAGAATGACAGTATTACAGGGTATTTAGAACCAACTAACAGAAAATGAACAATGGTTTCTGTATAATCTCCTTGTCTATAAAAGTTTTTGTTTATATTATCACATATAATAAAATCCAATAAGATACAACATGTTAAGACTGATGGACACAGAAGAACAAAAGCTTGATGGGACTTCAAAGCAAGATGATACTAAATCAGCACTAGCTATTATGATGTGTTGTTTTCACCAAAATAGCTGTTCCTACCATCTAACCTTCTCTGCCTCATTTCTGTTGAGCTCTTTTTCTGTCATTAGTTGTCAGTTTGTCTTCTTCATTTTGCTTTCTGCTCCATTCATTGTGGCCTCTCTGACACTGTTTCTGGAATCTTGGTGTTTTTCTTTTTTAGAATGTCCTGCAGTATTCTCTGTAGAGTTGAATTGGTGGTTGCAAATTCCCCTAGTTCCTCTTTATCCTGGAAGCACCTTGTTTTTCCATCAATTTCTAGGGACAGTGTGCAGGATATATCAATCTTGGCTGGAGGTTATTATCTTTCAAAGCTTGAATTATTTCCCCCCACGCTCTTCGTGATTTGATGGTTTGTGCCGAGAAGTCTGCTGTAATTCTGATGGGTGTTCCCTTGTAAGTGATCTGTTTCTTGTCTCTGATGGCTTTTAATATTCTGTTCTTATATTGGATTTCTGGACTTTTGATTATTATATGCCTGGATTTGTTCTGTTTGGGTTGTAGGTGGCTGGGGTCCTGTATGCCTCATACATCTGAGTATTTTTACCTTTTG